CTTCCATACCAAGCAGTGAATTATTTGGAAGCTTTATGACTCTATTCCCTCTAATTTTAGGCCTGGTGTGTCTGGATGTCATGATGACTAGACAGGCAACACTTATACCAAAGACACAGTGATGTCCGAATAAACCCAAGTTCAACTTCAATGTCTTACTAGACAATCATCATGACAAGAGAACAGTAAGAAGAAAGTCACAAAGATATGAGGAAAATGGACCTTAACAAGGGAGGAATCACATACCAGGAAAAAAACTGTGTTTGCAGAGAAGGGGCCCTTCCTTCATGGATACATTCACTGCTCTGGACTTGATCCTGATAAGAAACACACACACAAAAAAAATTGTATAAGACACACCACCTTAGGTCTGACCACAGAACAGTGAAGGGAGTGTAGACAGAGTCACTTTGAGGAGACTCAGTGGAGAATAAAGACCCCCTGAGGTGGTAGGGAGGCCACATAAGGGATCACATGCCTTGGCCCTAAGGTCCGATGAAAGGGGACAATGCAGTGGGGAGGCAGGCTGTAGTCACCATGTCACAGTGGTGTGTCTGTCCTGATCACCAGGGGGCACTAAAGGCTGGTTCCCTAGGGTCTGTGGGTGATCACAGCTGGGACCAGCCACCTGTCACTGGCTGGTGCCCTCTACTCAGGGCTCACTGCTGTGACCTCCCCACACCCCATGTCACACATAGCCACAACCCTGCCCACCCCACTGACTTAGAGCCACCAAGGAATCAGAAATCTGGGGGCCTCATTTGCATGAGTGACCCCTCCCTCTCTCAGAGTATGAAGAGGGGAAGGGAGAGAATTCAGGGAAGCTCTGCTTCAGCTGTGGGGCCACAGAAGGCAGGACTCAGTGACTGTCTCCACCATGGCCTGGTCCCCTCTCCTCCTCACCCTCATCGTTCACTGCACAGGTGACTGGATATGGGGACAGGGGAGGGGACCCTGGGAAGACACATGGGGCCCTGCTTCCTCCTCTTGTTTCTAGACCCAGAATCACCATCTCTGTGTCCCTCCCTCTTCCAGGATCCTGGGCCCAGTCTGTGCTGACTCAGCCGCCCTCAGTGTCTAGAGCCCCAGGACAGAGTGTCACCATCTCCTGCACTGGAAGCAGCTCCAACATCGGGAGTTATTATGTGAGCTGGTACCAGCAGCTCCCAGGAGTGGCTCCCAAACTCCTCATCTATGAAAATAGCAAAAGACCCTCGGGGGTCTCCAACTGATTCTCTGGCTCCAAGTCTGGCAACTCAGCCTCCCTGACCATCAGTGGGCTTCAGGCTGAGGATGAGGCTGATTATTACTGTCAGTCCATTGACAGCAGTCTGAGTGGTCGCACAGTGCTCCAGGCCTGTGGGGAAGTGAGACAAAAACCTACTGTCCCATCTACATGGGGCTTCCCTCAGCAGCCCCCACTCCTCTGACAAGACAGCTGCTTACTTTGATTGTTTGGCCTAATACTGGGGCCTGAGAACCACTAAGGGAACATTGTCTGCAAAATCTGTCCACATCCTTTAACTTCTACCCCCCAAGCCTGTCCTTGGCAGCTACACATTGTGAGATTTTTCTCAAATTGAGCAGCAATTCCTGGATGTGGGGCTGTATGCCCTGGGAACAGAGTCCATGATGAGTCAGAACAGAACCAGGGACACAGAGTCCAGCGGTGTGTGATTCAGGACACATCACAAGTGTCCAATGCATGTCTTGGTACTAAGTGGTCCTAGGAATGGGCCCCAAACCCCTCCTCTACCGTGTTTCCCCCAAAATAAGACCTAACTGGAAAATAAGCCCTAGCCTGATTTTTCAGGATGCTCATAATATAAGCCCTGCACATAAGCCCTAGTTAAGATCATCAGCCAGACATGACTGTTGGGATAAATGTAGATTTTTGTACATGAATACATGAATAAATGTAGATTGTGGAAGCAAAAATTAACATAAGACCCAGTCTTATTTTGGGGGAAACATGGTGTTATGAGAGTAGATGATCCTCAGGGTCCTTTGATTGGTATTCTGGGTCAAGTCTCACAACCTGGGCTCCTTTGCAGCCACTGGGCTGATGTCTGAGGACAAGGCTTCTTCTCAGTGGCACTCCTGTGACATCAGCCTTGATGTTCCCAACGGCTCCAGGCCTGTGGGTAACTGACACCAGAACCCCCTTCTCATCTGCCAAAAGCAGAAAGGTCCCAGGAGCTGCCTGCTCAGCCTCAGCCTGTGGCTTCTGCTTCTGCTGCTGCTGCCACCATATTCCCAGCTTCATCCAGGGGCACCGCCTGGGAGGGAAGGCTCCTCCTCGCCCTTCTGTCCTCAGAGTCACTCACCGCAGCATCTTCCGAGACAAAGGTTCTCAAAGGAAACAGAAAGTCCAGCACCTTATCAGCTGGGGACACAGAGTCTCTGCACTGAAGGTCAGAGGCTGAATTGGGGTTTCCTGATCTGGTCACCTCAGACCTGAACTCTGACTGAGGAATTCTATCTCTGCATTGTGGGCGATTTACATATTTCTGAAAGTTTCTAGAGCTGAGTTATCCTTTCATGAGTCCTCAGTGTGAATGTTTTCTTTCTGCTTAGGGGAGAGAGCTGTGGGTCACACTGATGCCCACCCTCCACCCCCAGGTAGGAAAAGGCTGAGCCTGCTCTAGTGGGACTTGGGCAGTGATCCCCACCCATGTGTGACTCTCCTGCAGTTGTGACTGCTCTAACCCAATGGAGAGAATGGATGTGGGTCTCCCTCAGACCCTGGGAAAAGCCAGCTCATCAGTTCCTTCTCCACATGACTACAACCATCACACAGCCAGAGTCACTCAGAGACTAGACATGAGGAATGGCAGCATCATATTTTCATGAACTGACTCCTTCCCAAGAAGGAAGGGGAAGAATGGGAGGGACTCGGTGTCCCACGTTCCCACGTGAAGCTCAGGAGGCGGTGCTGTGCTGGATTCCTACATGGCTCCAAGTTCACATGCAGTAAACAACCCACATGAGGACACTGCCTGCTATGCAAGTGCAGCTCATAGAAATTTCCTGCCCTCGCCTGCAATGCGGTAGCTGTGCACCCATCCCCCACCCCACCTGGAATTCCAGAACTGCCACCTGCTCCCACTCTGAAGACCTGCATATCAGCCAACTGAGCAGAGTCAGCTCAATTAATTTTGCTGCACTAGACACCTCATGTTAGGGAGGGAAGGTGGGATGGGGCTCTTCTGATTGGAAGGAGGGGTGTGGAATATTCTGAGAGAAGGGAGGGAGGAACTTTCCCAAATTGGAAGGTACATGGTGGATGACAGGGGACAAGTGTCTGAGCTCACAGAGGCTTCTCTGAGCTGAGAATGGGAGCACTGTGACTGGACCAATCTTCCCGCGGGTTCATCTTCCTCATGTCCTCAGCCATTCGTTCAACCACACTCTGCAGGTTCCTCTGACAACTGCCCAGTGGAGGGGCAGATGGTCTGTGTGCAGACCCACAATGAATCAGACAGAGGCTTCCTTTCTCTCCGACTTACATACTCCTACCTCCCCCTGCTCTCCTTGTGTCATGTCCTCTGTCTCCCCAGGAGACCCCAAAACTTTCAGTTCCTGCCAACAAGGTAATTTACCTATTTCTCCACATCTTAATGCACCTGTATTCTCAGAGTACAGGAAGGAAATTCCAACTACACCTGGGATTCCATGAGGGACCCATTGTCCTTTTGTCAACTTTTCCAGGAAGAGCCCTGCCCTGGGCCACATTCCACCATAATCTCATCAAATAATCTATTTCTTATTCTTTTCCTCACCTCCTTGCACTCATACCTCCTCAATCCTCAACCAGAAGCAGAGCCCAGGCCATGTGTGTGGAGTAGATGTATGGACAATGATCACTATCTTATACAGAGACGATGCATCACCCTGAGGGGGTCCATGTTGTGTGGATTATCCCCGTGTCTTCCCAAGTGACCTCATTCATCTCCTTCCTCATACAGGGAGCTCCGAGATGGGGCAGAACCACCCATCAGGAGAGGAGCAATGGTCCTTGACAACCTTCTCAGCTATGAATTCTCTTAGATGGTCCCCATCGCCCCTCTAGAAAAATTACCCTCTGGTGAACAGCCATGAACTTTTGTTTTTCCCTTACCCTCACTTCCTTCTTTAAAGTCTAATTTTAGACACTTACCAATATTTCAAATATACTTCCTCTATTTGAAATGATCATTTTATGAATCTCTGATTCTTAGTATAAAGAATAAATATCCACTATTTACTAGAACATGTAAAAATATAATTAGACATGTTTCAGTAAAGGAGCATAAGAATCAATAAAATAAAAGTATAAATATCCAAGGTAAGTTATAATAAAAAATTTCTAGGTTAATAATTGCAAAATTCTAGTGTAAATGTAACAGAAACATGAAGAAGTGGAATGGAATGGAATAAAACTTCGCCTCCCCACCTCCAAAAATTCTGACAGTGCAAAGTGGGTGTAGAACCAGTGGAGTTATTTTTTATGTCATTGATCTTCCCAGAGAGAGAGGATTCTGGGTCAAATGAGGAGGAGGGAGGTGGTGGTAGAAGCTTGAGGAGCGTGTGAACATTTCGCCTAGCAGAGAGGGCTGAGGTGAGATGAGGGTGCTGACAGTCTTGTCCAGGGGTCAACACCCTGATAAACTGGAAGCTAAAAGGAGGTGCTCTGTTCTCAATCTTACTAGAATGGTTCAGGCATGAAAGAGGGCAGTGTTTCTTCTTGAATCTTCTGGTTACTTTCTCACCCGGTACCAATCAGAGAACGATAGGTATTTAAAAATATATGTGTTTCACTAGTTCTTAGATACATAAATGTAGTTTTCCTCAAGCTGAAAAAAAAACAAAGCTTTCTGCCTTTCTGTTTCCCCCCTAAGTATGGAGGCAGCACTGTTCCCATTTTGTTCTTTAAACCATCACATGTGCAAATTCCGCCATTGGTGATTGCTCATTTTACTGCTAGTGGACTGCAGAGTTTCACTCTTGTGCTCCCACCTGCTTCATTTCCTGTTACTCTGTCGTCAAATAGGAAAACAGACTTACCATAACCCTAAATGAGTCTGTCTAGTATCTCCTTCAGGAGTTAAGAGTAGTAATAACATACAAAAGTCAGTGAGTTTTCTGTACAACAGCAATGAAGAAGCCTAAAATGATATTAAGAAAACAATTTCATGGGCCACAGCATCAAAAATAATAAAATACTTAGGAATAAACTTAACCAAGTAAGCACAAAGTTTGTAAATGGAAAACTACAAAACATTGCTGAAAAAGAATTGAAGACGTTTTAAGTAATGGAAAGGACAATGGTGTTCACAGTTTGGATGACTTAACATTGTGAGGGTGTCAAGCAAAACTACCCACATCATCTACACTTTCAACGTGGTCCCATCACGTCCTCTCTTCTCCCACACCAGTCCCACAATGTCTACTGGATCTTTGGTTGGGAAGATGTTGCATAAATGTCTGTTCTTTTGGATCTTAGACTCCCAACCCCATTGATTCCATGGAACTCTTAGCACAAAATCTTCATTAGGACCCAAAGCATGTACAGTAATAAGCTGTGAGAGTTTTCAATAGAATAGTGGTGGAAGACCCCTGTAAAGGGAGGAGGGATCCATTTATAGTGATGGTCTTTTTAAATCAATCCTCATACTGAGTAAAATGACAAAACTCGAATAAAAATATATTAACTATATGAGAGAGTCAAATAAAGTCGAACTGCCAGGCTAACATTCAAGGGAAAATGAGCACCCAGAGAATTAAGCAGGATCAGAGGTGCATTTTCCCTGACAGCATTCTCTCCTCATGGCAAAGACAGGCTCCAAAGGCCTGTGCAGTGTGGGCTGAGGGAATGTAACAGGGGAATCTAACATCAACAACAGTCAAACACTAAAAGTATCCCATGTAGAATCCGTATGAGGCTTGAACAACCTGGGTACTTAGACAACAATATGTTTTATGTGTGATTCAAGATGATGGTAGACTGGTAATGACCCCAGACACCTGGCGAAGGAAAATCACAAGTCCCGGAACTCTGAGATATCTGATAACTTCATCTCTGTTCAATACACCTTGCATTTAAAGTTGAAATTGAAGGTCATAAGTAACTTGAAAAAAAATTCTCAACTCCAAGCACTACACAGAGCACCTCCTCTTTCTACTGCCCTGGGCAGTGGCTTCCAATTGCACAAGTCAGCATATCATTCCAGGAGAGCTGGGTGGTCTCAGAAGGGCTGGAGAACATGTTTGAGACCAGCAGGGGGCGCTGTGGCACTGGTCCTGTGAGCACAGGCTTCTGAGCCATGCCAAGGAGGAAAACACTCTACTGGCCCTTGCACACTTGGTATGTAGCGTCCTCACTGAACTGTGACTGTCCTGCAGTTGAGGCCCAAGAAGCGACATGAGCCCTCAGCTCTGACTCACACCCTTGCCTCATATTCCATCCTCCACCGTTCCTGGAGTCATATATTTATTATAAATATATATAATATATAAACATTATGCACATGCATATGTAAATAGTATATATAATATATTATACTTATTAATATATAAGTATATTATGCAATGTATAGGTATATATAATATATAAAGCCAATTATTGTGTGAGTTAATATTATAATATGTATTATATATTATGTTTCATGTTGCATATTATATGTTTTCTATACAGAGACCATCAGACAGACAGAGATGAAGAGAGAATGGGAAGAATGTAGTAGAAATTCATTTTCTGATTCCAGGAAAACAACGAAACAAAGGAACAGAAAAGTATCGTATGAACACAGCTGAAAGGTGCAAGTAGGATCCATGTTATATGGAGAAATATTCACCTTGACCTCAGGGAGGATCTGGGTTTGGACTAGATACTGAAATCTCTGGGTGATGGTGAACACAGACCTTGAGGGAGAGCAGATATGCAGACAGTGAGCCATGTGTCAGATAACCCAAGCAGAGAGCTTATGAGGTTCAGTGATGATACCCTGACACACTGTGAGAGAGGAAAATGAAGTACTTGACCCAGTGAAATGGGTCTCTGATGCTCAGCCCACGGTGGGCAGCGTGCATCAGCATGGTCCTTCAGAGATGAACAGCACAGGCCTCAGGAAGCTCTTACCTGGATCAAGCAGCATCAACCAACAACCACCAGGGGGAGCTCCTCTCTGCTCCTTCCCGGCCAGTGATGGGCTTCTGGTTCCTGGATTCTACACTATATCCAGCTTCCCAATTCTTCTGTTAACCACTGGCTCTAACGTCCCCAGTAGGAAAGAGTTGTTCTGTCCCATGGTGCCTTGAGAATGCCTGAGACAGTTTCTAGGGTAGCTCAGGGCTCCATTCAGGGGTCAGGAATGCTGGCTGATTACTATGATTTCCTATTTATTCATGACAAAATGCATAACAAATGTATTAGCTTTAAAACGGTCATAATTTTAGTTGTTATTTGTAAGCAGTGTGTAATTGGTTATTTATTTCCGTATTTCTATTGACTTATGGAAGCTGATATCGCTTGTCCTTTGCAGTTATTTCAATTATTTTTTGTAATCCATTCTTTTTCTCTTACGATGTAGATCTCAATGATCTTCTAATGCGATGCACATAAAATTACAATTGTTCTCCACTCTATCAAAGAATCCTTCCTTTGACAGGCACAAAATAATTTGGTCTGAATCTTTGTCTGTTATGAATTGGGCCTCTAAAAAACAGTTAACGAGAAAGAAAAACAATAAATAAGCAAATGTCATGAAACAGACAAGATAGTAACAATTCTGAAATAAATATAAAATCATATTTTATTTTACTGTGAGAACACCAATTTTGTGGCTAACCTTCAAAAATTAATAAAGAACTTTGATCTTCCCACTATACCTTCTTAATCCCCTCTTCTGCAGTTATCATTCCTTCTGCCTCACATAAGACTGTTTGGGGAAAAGGGAGTTTTAAATTCTCAATGATGGTCACACAAACTTGTTCAGACACAGTATACTATTTTGTTTCTGATTATGAGTTACATGTTTCCTTATTTTTATAAAATGTTGAGGGGAATCTCACAATTTAAAGGTGACATCATGACATTTCTTCTCAAACACTGCAGGTCAGTTGAAGCTACTCTAGATAATTGATGGCTTCATAAAGAAAAGGAGAGCTCCCACCCCTATGCTGCCAGTGCAGCTCTAGGTGTGGGCAGCCCCACCCATGGTCACCCCACTGCTGCTACTGGGAACAGTTTACTGCACTGAGTCAGTGGGAAACTCTTGTCCCTTCAAATTCCCATATATGACTGCGATTTCCCATTGGGTTTGCTGTTGGAGGGAGGAGTGCCCATTACCTTTCCACAAAGGAGACAGGACAGGGTTTCACTGGGGAGCAAGACACTGTTTAAGGCATGGGGTAAGGTTTGGGGTAAACTAGATTGTGGAGACCAGGAAGTGGAGAAAACACTCATCTCATCATTCAAATCTCAGCCATTCCAGAAAAGAAACTTAGGACTGCAGTCACCAAAGACAATGGGGAACTGATTTTGAGACAGGCATCAACCTCCCTCCCTCAGTGTTTCAGTCTCCATTCAGTCATTGGTCTGTGTGAGGTCCCAGCATCTGCCTCTTTCAAGACCTCCCCCAGGGGACATCAGAATGACACTGGGGCAGGAAGAGAGAGGAAGCTGATTTGCATGAAGCACCTTCTCCTCTTCATGGGTCTGGGAGGCATGAAAAGGCCCAAGGACACCACATTCCAGGCCAAGAGCCTGAGGAGTCTTCGTTCTGTCAGTGTCCCCACCATGGCTTGGACGGTGCTTCTGCTTGGGCTCCTTGCTTACGGCTCAGGTCAGAGGGAGGGTCTCTGCATCCTTGGGGGACACATAATTCAGAGTCCCAGGGTGACCCTTGTCTCCCATAACAATACTTGTGTCTCTTCTGTCTGTTTTAGGTGTGGATTCTCAGACTGTGGTGACACAGGAGCCATCACTCTCAGTGTCTCCAGGAGGGACAGTCACACTCACCTGTGGCCTTAGCTCTGGGTCAGTCTCTACCAGTAAGTACCCCAGCTGGTTCCAGCAGACCCCAGGCCGGGCTCCCCAAATGCTCATCTACAACACAAACAACCGCCCCTCTGGGGTCCCTGACCGCTTCTCTGGATCCATCTCTGGGAACAAAGCCGCCCTCACCATCACAGGGGCCCAGGCTGAGGACGAGGCTGACTATTACTGTGCTCTGTATATGGGTAGTGGCATTTACACAGTGATGTAAACCCATGGGGAAGTGCAACCAAAACCTCCTCATATGCTCAGAATGGCTCAGCCTCACAGGCAGAAGGAAAGGAAGAGGCTGTCAATGGTCAACATACCATGGGGAAGGGGCTCAATGACCCCCTTCTGTACAGCGGTTCATCACCATATGCCTCCTCCAGTCTCTCCCAGGGTGTGTCCATCCCTCCAGTGTGACTCCTGAGAGACGGGGCTTCCTCTCTCCCTCTCTGCGTGTAATGGGGTATGGATCTGAGCTCTAAAATATATCATCCACAGTGAGACTCAGAGACCCCACTGCTAGCTCTAATGCTGGTTCTTATTCAAAGACCATTACCAGATATATTCTTATTCCTTGATTTATCCCTGCAGACCACATGGATATTTCATTTTCATTGAAATGGAACCATTACCTCAGGGCTTGTTAGAAATGTAGTTCCTCAAACTCGACATGCTGGGTCAGAAACTTGCGCTGTTGTGCAAGCTTCTATGTTTGAGAAGCTCTCCAGGAGCTTTTCATGAACATTAAAGTTTGAAGAGTACCTTTACTTCTATTTGAATAAAATTATTCCTGGTAATTTCTGTTTAAATTTCAATCAGGTTAACATTCCAGGACACAATCTCTCCCATTCAAAAATCCAGAAACACTCAGAAAAAGACGTAAAATCTTAAGCCATAGCTAATAACTGATAAAATCCTAATAGAAGCTGCAGTTTAGCTCATAGTATTATACCAAGATTACTTCCTTAGTTTTAAAATCTCACCATGGTTTTGCAAGATTTAATGTTAGAAGAAGGAGGGTGAAACTTATATAAAGGGTTTCTGTACTAACTTTTCAAATTTTCTTAAGTGTAAAATCATTAAAATTTAAACTTTAAACACACCACACACACACACACACACACACACGAATGAAAATATACTTGATTCCCTTCCCTGATGTTGAGGGCCCAAACAACAATTTTTGTGATGTATGAGGTACCACAGCAGATAATAAATTTCAAAGTCAACCCATTGTGATGTGCTGTATTTTTATTTTCATCTTCTCTAAAGAAACAAATATTTGAAAATATTACTCTTCACCTGTCATTTACCTGCTGGATGGTCATATAAAGCATCTCCCCAGTATCAGATAAGCACAATCTCTCATCAGCTCCATTACTGGGGTAAGGCATTAAGGAGGATTTATGGTTTGACTCAATATGAAGTATCCCATTCTTCTCAGATCTTCAATCTTATAAGTAAAGAATCCTGGACATAATTCAACAAAAAGCATAATTATACTCTAAAACGTGAAAAGAAGGCAGACTTCCTACACACTCAGAACTGGAGGAACAAACTGCAGTTATATCCTTGGTTGCTTATGACCTCTCTACAGACAGGGCAGGACGGGACAAGAACATTGAGACCAGGAACACCTAAGGTCCAGGCAAAATAGATAACAGAAATAGATAGATAGATAGATAGATAGATAGATAGATAGATAGATAGATAGATAGATATTGGGTTGTCAGAAAAGTCATGATGTATTTTTTTATGGTTTTCATTGCAAAAATTCGTCATGACTTTTCCAACAATCCAATAGATAGATAGATACCTAGACTAAAAATGAAAAAAGGAAGAAGGAAAGAAGAAAGAAAGGAGGAAAGGAAGGAAGGAAGGAAGGAAGGAAGGAAGGAAGGAAGGGGAGAAAGAAAGAAAGAAAGAAAGAAAGAAAGAAAGAAAGAAAGAAAGAAAGAAAGAAAGAAAGAAAGAAAGAAAGAAAGAAAGGAAAGGAAAGGAAAGNAAGAAAGAAAGAAAGAAAGAAAGAAAGAAAGAAAGAAAGAAAGAAAGAAAGAAAGAAAGAAAGAAAGAAAGAAAGAAAGGAAAGGAAAGGAAAGGAAAGGAAAGGAAAGGAAAGGAAGGAAGAAAGACTAACAACACGAAAATCCTATCCCGCTAGGCTAAGAAACTGGGAACCACATCTAATCAGAGACAATATTTTTGACAACACCCACCCCGCAACACCACATGCTAATGGAATCACCTAACTGCACCTTCATTCAGGGGTTTCAGTCTAGCTGATCTAGGACCAGGTCTCCTTCGTCCCATTAGAAGCAGGCAGCATACAGTGGCCCATCTGGAGAGTGTCAGTGGTTCAATGGAAAGCCGAACCACTATCTCATTAGACACTCAACAATCCTTAGCCATCAGGGCTATTCTGGACTGGTTAGCAACTCCAGTTATTCCACTCATGATTCAGATCCCACCTGGGAGCTGAACTTGAACCCCATCCCTCAGCAATGAGACTGAATGAGGTGGTACAAGGCAGAGGGAGTCTGCACTCCTGTGGCCCATTCTGGTGACTGTGGGACCAAGTAAGAGCTGAGCCTTGAAGTTCCCCACCTGGCATTAACAGCACTGAATAAACGATGGGAGGCAGGGGAGCTCCTGCTGCAGTGGCCCTGTCTCATCCCTGGTGTCAGTGAGGCCAAAGGGCCCAATGGAGAGCTGACTCAGACCAGCAGTTCCACAAGCCCTGTGCTTTCCTGTCTGTACGCAGCGGTCCCAACAGGGGGCTTATTTCACACCTCCACTTCATGAGAATCTGCAGTGGACAATCACCGCCCACTTTCCCCAGGAAGGAGTTGGCAGCACAGAGCACTGGGACTCAATGCTCAACCTTTGCTGGGGCCAGTGGGAACTGAATATACGCCCCTGACCTAGTGCTGTAGCTCAACAGGAGGAGTAAATGGGACCCAATGTGCCCTAGTGTAATTTCCAAAAAGTACAAAGTTCTGTGAAATACAATCAAGAACCAGGGAAATCTCAACTTGAACATGAAGAGAATATCCATTGAAATCAACACAGAGATGTCTGAGATGATGAAATAATGTTACAGATATATTCAGGCAACAGTCATAAAATTCATTTGACAAGAAAATACAGACACTTGTGGAAGAATGGATTAAGAGAGTAACTCAGAATAGAAAGAGAAGTCATAAAAAAGAACTAAAAAATACAATAGAGGAAATTTAAAAATAAACTTTTCTGGAGAGGTCAAGAATACATAATGCTTATTGATTATTTTAATGGTTCATTATGCTGATTGGTTGTTTGAATGATTGATTGATTGATTGATTATTTGGTGAAATACAGATTGACTGATAGTTTGTTGAACTAGAAAAGGACCACATTTTCTTCTGCACAGTTCCCACCTCCATGAACATTCTCTTGAGGACACCACCAGGGGTCGCTGTGGAACTTCTCAGAGCTGCAAGGCATGAAACCATCTCTAATGGTTCTAATGGAATGGGCCCTGTGCCCAGGCTCATGGCCTGAGTTATAAGTGGCAGCAGGTGCTTCCTCTCAAGTGACAGACTCAGAGCTCACAACCACCACAGCCTCCTCCTGAGAGTGAAGCTACAAACTGGGCTGAGGACACAGAATTGGATGGTACTCTGTGCTCATATTTGCATAATGCCCCACCACATACACCCTTTACCCAGGGAGCTGAGGAGAAGATAAAGGGGCACACCAGAGACCAGCACCAACATGAAGCCAGGGGACACTGGGAAGTCTTCACCATGACCTGGTCTCCTCTCCTCCTCCTCCTCTTCCTCGCTCACTGCCCAGGTTCATGGACATTTCAGAGACCAGCCTTTGGAGGGATCCTTCTGCCTTTATTCCTCATTCCTACCATGTGTCTGTTTTTATTTCATGGTCCAGTTCTCAGGCGGTGGTGACTCAGGAGCCCTCACTAACATGTCCCCAGGAGGGACAGTCACTCTCACATGTGGCTCCAGCACTGGAACGGTCACCAGTGGCCACTATCCATACTGGTTCCAGCAGAAGTCTGGCCAAGTCCCCAGGACACTGATTTATAATACAAACAGTAAACACTCCTGGACCCCTGCCCAGTTCTCAGGCTCCATCACTGGGGGCAAAGCTGCCCTGACCCTCTCGGGGGCCCAGCCCGAGGATGAGGCTGAATACTATTGCTGGCTGCTGTACAGTGGTGCTTGGCACAGTGAGACACCCAGATGGGGAACTGGGACATAAACCTTTGCTTGACGAAGAATGTGTACAAACATGACCCTGTGATATTAGCATCATATAACCAGACACCTGAGCTCTCAGCACAGCCTAAATGTTCACCATCCACAAAGAGAAGGTGAAGGGAAGCGTCTGAATTGATTCCATTCCTGTTTGAGTCCTAAAATGGAGGGAATTTATGAGCAACTTTGGAGGAACTAGTCCAAAAAAGCAGAATTCAATTATTTTATTTTACAGAAGGAACAATATTTGATGGTTAAAAACTGAGGATTAAGGTCAAACAAATTTCCTGTAGGAAAAAGTATTGCCAATAATCTTTGCAAGCTATGAGTAAAGGAAAGAAACCCTCCTTTTGCGTGTTACTGAAGTTTATGTTCTTAGG